GAGCAACTATCCTACGCGCTTGGGAATGACTCTGACACGGTGATAAGAAAACTTATCCACAACCGGCGCTGACTAGCACTCACGTCTAGCTGCCAGATTACTCGCGTAATCGTCCCCTCACATGAAGAAAATAGAGAGTCGAGTAAGAAGGGGGTGGGGCATGTGTGAAGGAGGACAGGACGGTATGATTATATAAATGCAACACTCGATAAAAAGTGGGTGTGTGCGGGGGAGGGGTTAGGATGCGAGCGATGTTTCCCTATTTCGTGTACACGCACGGACACTGGACGGGAACATGTGACACACAAATACGGACTGAAGGCCAAAATTAGACAAGTAAACGGCCATTTTCGTTGGGTGAACGGCGGGGGCGGGAAGATGATCCGAGTAGTACGGGTTCAGGGGAATGGGGAGAAAACACACTAGGGATAGGAATACAGGAAACGGTGAACGACCGTAGCAGTGCATGTGCGAGTGCGTATGCGTGCGTGGCAACGAGCTGCAGTGAGCCAAGGGGAAAAAAGCGCTCCTGCCAGGTAGCACGCACGAGGAACAGCGAGGAGAGATTTGATCGTCTCTTAGGCCGAACTTCCATTACTGACCACGGTGGTCAGAGATGACTCACTGGAATCGTGTTTTGGTCGTTTGGCCTGTACCACTTCCGAGGATTTTGCTGAATCAACAGACTCGTGACCATTTGGAGCGTCCCCATTGCTCTGATGACTGTCAACGGGTGCGCGTTTGCGAGACTCAGTCTCACGGATTTGCTCCGGTTGGTCTGAGCTGCGAGCCATTGCCTCTTTCACTAATCCTTTGAGATTTTTGAAGCGAACAATGATGCACGTCATATTGTCACACCCTGTCCCGTCCCCGTCGGTATTCGGAGCAAGACAATGATCGAAAATCTGCAATCGAAGAAGAGGAATACGGATTACACGATCTGCATGGGACAGACAGTTTTTGATAAAGCGAATCAAATGTTAAAGCGATCAACAAGATTATGACTAAACGGAAAAAGCTGACGCAATCCACCC